TACCTATACATTATGTTACCAATTATGTGCGCTTGCGTGCGCATTTTTTTGTATGTTATGACGTGTACTTACTCGTGGTGATCAGTAACAGTGGCAGGATCATCGGCGTAGCGTAATCCATGGTCTTCCGCGGTCAAATTATATTCTCGATGTTTCGTGTCTGAGGAGGGCCTCCTCGAGTCTTGGGCGACAACGACTACGACGGCGGCGGCGGCGACGACGAAGACTTAATATGAGACTCGAGATCAGCTGTCGTGTACAATGTAYGCCGAACAAATGTTGAACACATGTGTACGAACTGGAAATAGACGACGAGGACGAGATGCAACCATTTACCATTTTATCGTCCCCGCACTATTGTAACGCACACGCACGCACGCACGCACGCACGCACGCCCACCCGGTGATCGCCGGTACATTTTATAGTAATAATTATACATAATACATATAATATTATCATCTGCAGCAGACCGTGATTTCTGTTGAATGTATTTTGGTTTTATCTCAACTTAACAACATAACGTTATATCACGTTGTATTGGCTCCGTGCAGCGGTTTATCGTTTCAAGTTAAATTTACTTCCGGTGTTGTGTGTGATGTGTTCAATATACGATATTATAACACACGTGTATAAAATTACGTCCTAATATCATAATAATATGCATGCTGCTGTCATTGAACTCTGTTGTTGCTATATGTATGTGCATAGACCGCGATGATGTGTTGATGGACTGCGGCGGTGGTGTGCTGTAAATACACGTTATAATATTATATACAGGCCGGTTACTATAAACAAATGTTCACTCGTTTTTAGTTTTTAGGTTTAAAAAATTTACATACCATGATACACCAAATAAAAGAATGCTGAAGAATTGTATGTAATGGTAGGCGTACCTGATATGAACGCGTGTCGGAACTTAAACGCATTCCATATATGCGCATTTATCCGAATATTGTCAATTGACTCTGCTTATAGACCCATTGTGGTTGATGACAATGTGGTACATGTACCTACACGGTATCCTGAACATATCCTCAAAAGATAATTATAGTAGTCACAGCATGGTTTTAAATCATGCGAGTAACGAATAGTCAGATGCACAGTAGCGAATAATTATTAATATTTTGAACAACCCTGTATATAATATATAGGTAGTAGAAAAACCGGGTGATTTTGTTGACCACGGTTCCTGTGTATTTCGGAATTTTCCTGATTTTCTCAAAAAATAAAAATGAAAAAAGAAGAGATTGTAAAAACAGTTAAAGCTCGTCAAAATAATTTACCAATCGATTATTATCGGTACACGTATACCGATGCTGAAAGAACCACTCTAGGYATATAAAGTTATCGAATATAGTTAACATATAAATTCATATTAGATCACGTTTTACACGTGTATGATATAATATCTACAAGTACTTATGTGATTATATATATATATATATGCATATATAAATGTACGATGTCACATTTTGTAGTTCATCGATTTTATTTTATTTTAACGAATACTTCCGTTGCATATTAAATTCATGCAGAGTATGCATGAATAAATTGCCTTATGTTTTGCCGCTTTAATTAAAAAATTTAAATTTAGATCACTCAAATCTTAAGTTTTTTTTTTTAAATAGTCAATATTATATAGGTAATATGTAGGCAGGTATGAGGTAATGATAATCTAAGTACAAAATGTACAGCCTGCAGGGCTGCAGCTATACATTTATGGGGCAGTATAAATTCTCGTGATTTTATTTTGAGTCCAATCCTACCTACCAACAATTACAAAAACAGATATCTATATAAGAAATTAAGAAATAATTTTCAAAACGATGCTTGCTAGAAAACTATTATTAGGTACCGAATAACAGGTACCTATCTAATAGTATTATGATATTTTGTATTTTTAAAAGTGATGTAAAATTTGTATATCAGTCGACGCAATAAGAATATGAGCTAAGGGAAGAAAAACACGAATACATTATTACAATTTATGAATACTTATACGAATTTGAAGAAAGAAGCCACTATAGCTTATAACACTAATAACACTTCCAATATTTAAGTTATTTTTGATATTATAACAATTATTATTACATTGTTGACAGTATTAAGCATTAGGTATTATGTACCAAATTAATTGTTGAGTTGAACATTTAACTTTCTATGGTTGGAATACGCGTGCRAACTACGCATAGAAAAACTAAAACTTGATAAGTATGAAGCATAATAGGTAGTTAATGAACTCAAATTAGAATTTCCACTTTGMATTTACAGATTCACCGACGAAAATAACAACGTGCCTAGTTCAACGTGATCAAAAATTATAATCAATTTTTTTTATATCTAAATATCCAATCAAAATATTAATCATACCTATATCGTGGTATATAGTATACGTAGTATAGTTCCGTTGTTAATAGAYATACGGKTTTCAGCTGTATATTATATAAAATACAATCATATTAGTAGTTAATTTGTGGTTTACTGATAAAACAAATGGTAAAAAAGAATAAAGTTCAATGCTCATTGTTGGCCTTATAAACACTTATATGCGTCAAATAGTCTACGACATTATAAAGGTCATTAATTTATTATTGTAATATAAACCATTCAATTTAGTTTTTGCCGAATAATTTAGTAATTTTCTGTTCTCACAATCGGGCTATAACTTTCGWAAYAAATACTTTCTTATTATATTGTTATGTTATACAGTTAGCTCATACCTATAATTTATAGCATGATTATTATACCTACGTCTCACGTCGATTGTTTTATCTCTGCAGTGGTCCATGAGTCCATCGTACGTTTTATAATAAACTGAATAATTTTGGATTAGGTACCTAAATTGTATCAGAACTTGACATTTCACTATTTCAGAATTATTATTTTCGTTTAAGTGTAGGACAACCAACTATATAGGTACAGGGGCGTCAGGGGACAGCGACGACATGATAAGACTGATATAACTGTAGGTTTATCGATTAATTAAAATTTAAAGAGACGAAAATGGCCCATAATTTTGACGAGCTGGTAACAATATTTTGATGGCCAGATAAAACGTTATTGAACGTTTAAAGATTGTTTAAAATTAAACGATGAATAAAATTGTGAACGTTCATGTGACCCGGCAGTATTGTTTTATTGAAGTATCTATAGGTATAAGATCACAATTTGTTGCGTATAATGTATTATTATTATATTTTATGAAACAATAGCACGACACGACTATTCAAAATATTTTCAAATATCAATATTAGTAATATTGTAATTCGGATTTTAACATTCGTTGAGGAAAATCGAATGGCGTCGGCTGTTGTGGTCCAGACTTATGCGTTTCGGGCTTTTCCATAAAGAATAATACTGAAATAGCACTATCGTTATACGATGACGACAGTGCTTTTATTATACTCAACATTTAAAAACTTTGAAGCAATAGCCCTAAATATTCGAACTCACCCGAACGAAACATCTGAAAATAAACCGCCGGACACCTGTACCAGAATGTTCCACATTAGGAAGCAATTTCAGGTCCGGGTTAAGCGTTGGCACACGCCTGCAGAGCAAACTAACTGTTATGCCACCGTTTACGTGTTTCGTATTTTAAGTGCTACGTCAAATATGTTTAAATACCATCCCCGAAAAATGTGCTGCCCTAGGCGTGAGCCTATTATATCAACRCCTATACCCTCGAGCTGGGCCGGTACGATTTTTTATAATATATAATAGTGTATTGTTTATATATCGTACTGATGAGGTAAGATCTTTTTTTAGGAAACAATTGTTTATTCTTTTATTATAATCTATATATTATTATCTCCGCAGTGATCTCGTGAAATCACCACTAACGGCACTAACTCACAATACTCTCGCGAGGCCCACGATAGTTTTAAAATATAGTATACCTATACTTTATAGGAATATACAACTGTACAAGTATATTTTACATATTATTATACAACAATAATATTATATATACGAGTATATAAGCGGAAAAAGCGCTTTTTATTTTAGTTACCGTTTATAGGTACTACCATGAAAACGCATGTGGCCGGCGCGAGTATAGCATACGAAGCAATAATTATGTTAAAAACACACACTTTTTTTCTTCAATAAACATTGATTTTCTTGGAAAATTGTTTTAAAACATGTTTGACGTAATTTAACTTTTAAAAAATTACATTTTCCAAATTTAATAATATTTTAAATATTTTTATCGTTCAAGTGTTTTGCTTTTTTTGCAAACGGCAGCATAATATGTTATACATGAAGCAAAATATTTTTCTAAGAATTTCTTTTGAATGAGTACCTATTATTATGAGTTATAGTGTTATACTATTGCCATGGCAGCTAATAATAATTTGATAACTTTAGATTCATATACTGTATATTCGTTTAGTGTTGATGGCGACGGTAATATGGGGGGGAGGTTTTAACTTTTAACAGTTTTAACCCTACAAATTTAGTATCATCWTCAGTACCCAAAGTAGAATAACCCAGAAGATTTAGTGGATTTCGATTTTATTACCTATATCATCATTAAAAACAGATATCTGATGTAACTTCATTATTACAGTATCTAAATTTTATGATCAAATTGGGTGACTATGTTTCAATATTGCTTCACTCCGACTAAAGTTAAGTTAATACGGTATTAATTATATTAACCTACATGATGAGTTTTTAAATTATTAAATGTYTTTCAAAACCTATATAGATGTAGATCAAATATCAGTTCAGTTTCATCAAAATTTTATTTTATTTAGGTAGTGAAAAGTTCAGTTTTTTTTTTGAAATTTCATCGTTGTATAGAATCGAATTWTCTCAGAATGTAATCAGAAATTCAGTTTTTGGACAGAAATTGACTGAAAAGAAGAAGTGTGACTGTTTGAGTTTTTAAAATAATGAAGTTTGGTAAAAATTATTYTCATTATTAATGTAACGCATTAAATATGAAGTTATTTATACATTTTAAGTGTTTACTTGCCCATCTATACTTAACAAAGTTATGAATTAGAATATTTTTTTGTTTATTTAAATGACTATAAAGTTATAAATAAGTTTTTATTTAATGTAAATAGGTACCTGAAGAAGTAAATATTAAACAAAAATATATTTGTTTGTAAATTTTTATTCAAAAAACCTTTTTTTTATGTATGATTACTTCACTCTTTATTAATAATAAAAATAAAATATACATAGATTTCAATTCAAATAT